GCAGTGGGAAAACAAATTATTTCAGAACAGGTTGGAAAATAATATAATTATGTGCATGTTAATTAATTTTTAGCAATTGCTTTGACCTTCAGTTTGGGAGTAGTCCTACATGGTTTATGTCCTATTATTTTTTCAATATTATACTCCTAAAAATTAGTTTGAGACGGGGGAAATAAGAATTGCAGTACCTAATGGAAACCTTAGGTAATAAGCACTTTCTCTTTCAGCTTTTTAAGGACCTCTTCATTAACATTTCATAGATTCATTTCACTTTTCTGTGTTGGGATTTGAAGGCTACATTGCTATTTTAATGTAGGCTTTTACATTTTTATCACCTGTTGTTTAACTACAGTGTAAGCTCTTGCTCACATTTTAATGTAAGAAAGACAGCTAAACTACCGGATAGCAGCATTTGTTTCTTTGGTTCCAGAGAACATAATCATCCATTAGTTTTATACTATTGAGCAGGAAAAAAGAAAATAGAACTGTTCTGGAAAGTCTGTATATTCTGCAGCATATTGCACAAATATGGTTACAATTTCTTTAGAATATTCCAATAATTTATCTGTGTTTTCCCACATAAATTGATTATTACAATTTTCACCATCGGGCAAAGTTTAACAACTTGCTGGCACTACGGTGGCCTCTCTTTTTATAGCACACACAGGTGAAATCATGGTCACGCTGCAATGGCAGATGGAGTAATCATTTTGTAAATACTGGAAGTCTAGGGAAGATCAAGCTTTGGTTTCAGTGTTAGGTCTGTTGAGATAAACTGGGAGAGCTTTTGGCTTAGGCTTTCTACCAACCGAGGAGACAACAGCATGGGGTTTCCATTCTCCTCCTGCATGTTTTTTTTCCCCTAGAACCATGATATTGGGTGGTTTATTTTAAATGAAAGTATATGAGGGAAGGGGAAATTCAGGGAGTCCTTCCATAACACATACAGCTGCATCAAAACTTAGGATGTAATTTATTACAGCGTTACACAAAGGTCACATCATCAAGTGGTTCATAATTCTGTGGTGCTGTCTGCAAAGACGTGGAACAAAACAGTGTCTGAATCAGAGAATGTAGGAGTGATGGAGCAAATAAAAAGTACAGAGGTAGATGCAGCACAGGGTATTAGCTATGGCTGTTATTTTCATGGTAGAAAAAAGTTTAGGGTCAGTGCGTTTGTTATGGCTGTGTCTGCTAAGGTTGAATACACATTTAGCAGTGATCACTAAAAATTCAGGCAATCGTATGAGTGTGCCCTTCCTTTCAGCATGTTGAATTAAATACCCTTATAAAGTGCAAGAGTTGCTGATAACCAGAACTTTGAGCTGCCTTTTTTTTGTTGTTGTTTTGTTTTTGTCCTTCTACCAAAGCGTAGTAAACTTAATGCTGACCAACTTGGAGGAGTGACAATATGGTCTGTAATGAGGTTGGCGGGCTGTGCAAATGTTATGGCCCATCAAGATTCCCTTTCTCGGCGGCATAGGAAATTTTTTACTCTAAATCTAAACACCTACTAAAGTTTATTAAACTTTAGTTTATGCTATTACCATGTATTATTCCATAGCTTTCTTTTTACTCCCTCCGCAAGCTCCTCCTTTCCTCTCTCCTCACCCCAGAAAAAAGAGCTGTCGCACCACCTCCTGCTCCTGTGCTGTAGCAGACTCACTGATGGCGTCTTCCAGAGGCAACAGGAGACCATTTCTTTCCTTATAACTCCCTCTTTTGCCCCAGTATCCTCTATGCTGACAGCTACACTGTTCACATGTGGACTCAGATGGGAATACATTCAAATGTCTCTAGCTGTAACATTTGTTTCTAACTGCCATAGATATGCGCGAGTATTTCTAATACTTGCCACCACTGCTAATCTGGACACACGAAAATTTTCAAGAGTACTCATTCTTTTATTTCTATGGTGTATTATGTGGTATTATTTTTACTAAGATGCTATATGATATGGGAGATAATATTGAGGCGTATTTTTTAAGGTCTGATTTTGGGAAGGATTTAAAAGAGCCTTTGGGCATCAAAGCTTTGTAGCTCTCAAAGCTAAAATCCATGGTCTTACATTTCTAAAGACTTATGAAAAAACTTGCTCTTGCAAGTTCTGCTGAATACAATACCTCATTAGTGCTGCAGGTGATGCGATAGTGCTCCACAACTACCTGGAGACAGCATGCAGGGGGCGGGGGAAGTGTAATTACTGAAGTAACACAGACTGTAACTGCTAAGGTGCTTCCACCGTGTCAGAAATGTGCCAAATGCAGGCACAGAAAAGTTCAGCGTATGTAATTAAAGCTGCAGCTTGCAGTGTATAAAACAAGAAAAAATACCATCCTTTCTGCACTTGCAGTCTGAGTCTTGGGAAGCTGTCTTTTCACCAGTTAGTTGTCTTAGACACAGTCTAAGAGAGAGCATCAATTTCTCCATGTGTTGAAATTTCTTTGTAATGGGAATGAGGCTCACAGAAAGCCAGTCAACGCGTTTGAAAAATTCCAGTTAATTACTTTTGGATCAGAGGAACCCAGTTTAACCAAATAAAACTGCAACCCACCTACATTACGACATCTTCCAAATAGCTTGGTATGTGAATGCAGTATTTTTTAAAAGGATTCCAAGTAATGTATGACTCTTACAGCAGCTTTTAATTACATCAGTTCAAGCAGCTGGATGTAAATCGCCCTTTTCTGTAAATTCAGCTGGGCCATAAGAATTACTTCAGATATGAAATGTAAAGCCATCTACTTCAGAAATAAATTTCAATTTCCAGTTTAAAATTGTAAACAAATTTTAAGATATTAATGTCTGTCCTTTTGAAGTGACTATGTAGATAAATGTGTAATTCAGAGCACATTTCAGTGGAATGGCGTCTGTAATTACAGCGATGCCCTATGCTGCATATCTGAAGAAACACATGAAGAGCCCAACAAAGGACAATTATATACTGCCCCTATTGGTTGACACATTTCACGAATATATATTTACAGTCCCCGCTTAAGAGGAAGCAAGTGTGCCCGTCTGCCATTTTCATGTGTTGAAGTACCCGATACTGCCAGCCTCCTTGGGAAGCAGCTGCAGGAGGAAGCTTGCAGGAATTCATGGGAACCGAGCTCTGGCAGGCACTGCGCTGGGAGATGTCGAGAGCAGCTGTCTCTCCCGGAGGACTGATCGAATTAATCAGTTGATAGGGAGTATCTGGCTTTGCTGAGAGGCAGCCACTCCTGGATCCGGCCCCGTCGCGTTCCTAGACCCACAGGAGCCAGGAGACACTGCCTCTCCTAGGTTGTAAGAGTTGTCTCTGCGGGGGAATTGCAAGCTCCCTGGTATCTGAAGTCAGCAAAAGCTTGTGCCTAGTGCAAGGGCAAGAGTCTACTGATGAGGATGGGCAGTGTTTTGTCCTTCCGTGAATAATCTGTCCATTAATTACGACGTAGTAGAACAGAAATGATGGCTTGGCTAGCTAAGCTAAAATACTAAACTAAACATGATTTAGCAAATTCTGTGGCTTGGGAGAAAAACAGGTAGCCTCACCTTGAGGACCTGAGGGCTGGCTTTGGGTGCTGGATCACCGCCGACTCAGCTGTCCACATTCTCACTCATCACAGAAACCTCCCTGTGTGTCAGCTGCTGCACGTAGTTGCCATTTACTCCTTAGCTTTCTCCACCTCCTCCTTTCTCTTTGCATTCTATTAATCACATTTTCATCCTGTCCCTTTTTTGTCTCTCAGGCTATTGTTGTAGAAAGGGCATGAGGAATGAGGGAACTGGCTTGGGAATTTTGCTTCTTCAAGGATGGCTGGTGGAAGAGGGTTTCCTGCTTTGGGCAGAAGTAAAAGGGAGAGTAGCAGACCCACTCCAATGGCTAATGCTGCCTTTGAGGGCATGCTCTTGAGGATGCTGAAATCTGGCATACAGGCTGCAGAGGCAGAGTTGCTCAGTTGCTCCTTGAGCCTCTCCATGCTGTTTCTTCTTAACAGGTAGCTCCCACCCCCGTAAGTGGCCTGTTGGGACTCCATTGACTTAGAGTTTTAAATTAGGTTTTGTCTAATGCATGTATTCAGGCTGGCAGTTGTATGCATGTTCCAGTATTGCTTCATATGATTCATGGAGACACTAAGGTTGTATTTTTTGTTGTTGTTGCAAGGTTTTAGATTTCAGTATCAGAAGGGTTGTTCCAATGGCTTTGCTTCTACTAGAGCTTCTCGGTTTTGTCTCTTAATTTGCTGCTAGTGCAATACTGAGGTGAAATACTGTGATTTTCTTTTATAATTCTCCTTAACCATTTAGAGAAATTTGATTATCAGACCTTCAAAAAATTAGAATTTTGTGACATAGGAAGAAAGTGCCCATAGATCAACAGAGATGTGCCTCAGGCTATGGAAATGGGAGCTCTGATGTGCCCTTAAACCCCACTGTTCTGTTTGAAGAAGGAAACTGCAATGTAGTATCCCTTCTTCAGTGCTAAGTATATACACTTAATTAAATACTACTATTCAGCCTTCTGGATTGAGCAGTAAGAAAAAATACAAGCTATTTAGACACAATTTCAGCAGAACTCCAGAATGAAGAGTGAATTTATTGTATTTGCTTTTCCATTTTTGTTTGAGTTCAGACTAAATAGGATTTGCAAATGCGGGTAGTTGAGCAAAGAGAAAATAAGGCTGTTTGAAGTAAGCAATTGTCTGGTATACTACACAGTGCTGATCAGTTGACCAAAATGTCAGCTGAGACATGCTAAGTTAAAAAAAAACCCAAAACAGCAAAACTTCAGCTTCACGCAGCTGGATTATTTTACATTGTAAGAAGAATCTAAGTCTCAGATTTGGGACTAATTAGAAGCTACAAATCACAAGGACTAGGAGGCAAGTATTTTTGCTAAAAATTCCAGTGAACCTATTGAGAGGAAAAAAAAAATTTTTCTAGTGCATTATTTTTTGGAATGGTGATGTGTCACTTGCTGGAAATCAGCGTCAGCCATCTTGCAGATTTTGTACTTCATTATGGAGTTACAGCAGTCCTTACATGAGTATGTTCTCTCCCCTCGTAATGCTTACTTCTGGAAAAGAGTTCTTCACGTAAGCCATGATAGTTGCTTATTAAGTTAATGATTAAAGAACATGTTGGCCACACATGACCTGGACCTCAGTTAAAAAAAATGCTCATGAGATGCACTTAGTGCATTTTACTGGTATTTTGAACTTCAGCAGTTAGCCAGCAGTTTCTCAGGAATTGTTTCTTCTTATTGCCATAGGCAGATTAGTTAGACTATCAAACTACAGGTTTTTACTTCTTCATCTTAAGGCAATTCCTTCATTTGTCCAGCGTTTACCATGTAATTAGCACTTCTAAAAAAAATTATTTCTAGGAAAGATATTTTAAAATTTAAAATCAAAAGATTATTTGAAAACAAAATTAATCAGTTATCTTTTCATAGTTCAGGTGGGTTTAATTGTATATATTTCTACAAATCTGTTGAATTTTGGTGTAGTCTTCATAAAGCAATATATTAACAACCCTCCTGCATATTTCTTGTTATTCTCTGTGTTGGCTGCTGCTGGTTTAATTTTTAAATACTCTTCACCTCCACCTTCACCACTACCACCATATTCTGTTGATGCAAACTGCTGTTACACTTGTTCTTGGCCTAGAGGGAACATTTGTTTTCCGTAACTCTTAGCCTGCTGCTAATGGGTTTCCACAAACCGGTTTTGGAACAGGTGCCTGGGAGCAAAGCTGTAAGGTTACCACTTTGCCTGCTATTTCTTTACCTTTCTTGGGGTGAATTAGGAAGGAGAAATTCCATTCTTCCACCATTGGGTGCAAAACGCTGTTGAAAGAGTTTCTGGTTCGCTGGCATTGTAGGTTTCTGGGTTTTTTTAATAGGTATTGTCTAGGGGATCACTTATTTTCTCTAGCTTATACAGTGAGGGAAGTTTTGTAATGCAAAGATGTAATTTTTCTTTTCTGATTTTCTTCCATAGTCTGCCATCTTCAACTTTCAGAGTCTACTGACCGTAATCTTGCTGCTCATATGTACCTGTGCCTATATCAGATCCTTGGCTCCCAGCTTACTGGACAAAAACAAAACTGGGTATGTAGTCTGATCGTTTTAAAAATAGACTAGCTATTTGGTTTCAACTGAAACGTTTTACTCTTAGTATCTTCTAATGATGTGTGATAATACAAATCCTATTTTGAAAAATTTCCATCTTTAAAGATAAAAATATTTTATACCTTACAATAGAAGGCAGTAAGGTACTTGCCATGACTTAGTTGCATTTTTTGAGTATTAATCAGTTAACTAACCAAGCCAGCTAATACTGCTTTATTAGTTATTTGCTAAATTTGCAACTTTCTCATTAGATGCTTATTAAAGATACAGAAATGAGTGACAAGAGGAAAACATTTTCCTACAAGCAGCTATTGCTGTAATGATTTCTTTTTGATTCTTAGGGTGGGTAGGAAAACATGAACAGCAGAAGCTGGCTTTTTGTTTTCAACTTAGGTGTTTTGGAAGTAGAAGTTTGAAACACAGCTTTAGCAATAACCTGCAACTAAAAAAACAGTATTTTTTAAATAAGCAACACTATCCTTATGTCTGGTCTTTTTAAGTCATTGTTTTGTATTGTCTAAGATGAAGGAATTTATAGAAGGGTTTTTGAAAGCTCCTACAAGACCTGAGGTATTTTTTTGTCTTTTGGTCACTCTCACTTCATCTCTCACTTTTATTCCTCAAGCACATGTTCATAGGTGACCAGTGTTTTTCTGCTTTGTATTCCTCATTCTCCTGGAATGTGCTTAATGTTGCAGGGCCAAAACTGCTGCAAAACAGTTTTTCTCTACCCTGCTCGGCAGCACAGTTTTTGGGGCATTGGGAAATGAGGACAGCCACAGAGCCGAATCTGTGCCTCGCTTATGCTGTTAATACCCATTCACCTTTTGGCTTACCAGTGTTCTTTGTGCTACAAAGAGTGTGACTGGCTGTTGGGTTCAGTCAGCAATATGGAGAACTGTGATTTAAATGCTGTGATTTTAAAGTAATGACTGCGCAATTTTGACGTAGAAAACACTGAGGCCATCCATGGTATTTCAGTAACACTGTCACCTAAGGTTAATACAAAGGAGATAATATTTATAGAAGTAGGAGGTAATTCTAGCTGGTAATGTTCTAGCTGGAAAGACCAAGACGGGCTTTTGGGTGCTGGTGTTTGGCTTGTCTACTTTTTCCGTTAGATCATTTGCTGTTAAAGAAAATGTTTTTTCCCTAAGTATCTTCTGTCACTTCTGCATTTAATTTTCAGAAAAAGTGTCAAGTTTTAAGTAGACTTTTGTCACCAAGAACCTTGAGTGTTTGTCTTCCAAAAACCTTCCTTGTAATTAACCTCTGGAGTTGCTCCTTTATCACACAAGTTTTCTTTTGGCACTGTCATATACCCAGAGTATGCTAGCTTTTTTTCAGTTTGGAGTTCTAACATGAAAATCCTTGTGTCCTTTCATATGAGGCCATGAGGTTGCCACTGACATGAGAGATTCCTTTTGATAAAAGTAAAGATGGAAAGAAAGGATGACTTAATGAAAGACTTGGGGCGGGGGCGAGGGGGGAGTGTGAGGGGAATTTGGGTGTCTGGTAGTGGAAGATAACACAATAGTCAATGAGGTATACACAGTAAGAAGTAAGTATTTATTTTACTGATTAAAATTTTAGTGCTGTTCTTGGCAAGGAGTATTTCCTTTAATCTGGAGCTACTCTGTTTATTCTTGAGGCAAATCTGTCTGGAGTACAATAGAACTCTCTTCATAAAATGTTTTCAAAGGGTGCTGACACAGTGGAGGAGTTGGGCGTTTGATCTGTAGGTTTGTATTTATATAGATGTTGGACATACTATTTTATTTTTGTTTTACGTAGACGTATGTAGACTACTTTGTACTGGAGAATAAAACGTTGGCCTGGAAGCAATGAAATTTGTTTCCTGAATGGTAGATGTTTACATGGAGCTCATATGCTGTTAAACCCCTGTCCCTCTTCACTAACATATTCCATGGTCAAATGGAAATGTCTAGACATACTGGATAAAATAAATTCTAGTGATATTTCATTTTACCACAGAGATGATCTTACCTCATTATAGCTGCTCCAAATTAATAGCATAAAAAAGTAGCAATAAAATATTAAAGTGACAGAGGAGCAATGTTGATAGTTACTCACTATATTTCTGGCTGAGTGGTAACTTTGGTGAAGATTTAAATCTGTTGATAGTAAGTAAAGAAACATGTTTCTGTTGGTTGAGAGACTGTGTTGCAAAGTGATGTCACCCATCCTCATAACACTGTATTTCATCCCATTGACTTCTGCCAAAATGTGTCTTTTCCTACCAAGCCAAACAGAATTTTAAACCTTCGTTTTCCCTGCCGCGTCTTGAGTGTTTCCATGTGCTTTGTCCTGAGCAATAGCATTTAAGGTTGGAAAAACAAGTGGAGATTTACTGTTTCATGATAACTAGAGGAGAATGTGTACCACGACAAAATTCTCTCCTCCCTGCTAACCAGAAAGATGTGTTAGCTTATATGCAGCGGAGATTTCCTTTGACCTGCCATAAGCATGGCAGTGGGGTATCTCACACTCCCTCCTGCAGTGTCAGTGGGGTTGTCCTGGTAAACACATGGCAGCTGCATTTTGCAGCATTCCAAGTCTAGCAGCCAAAGTCTAAAGCCTCGCTAACCCTTTCTCATCTCACTGGGTTCCATTTCTTCGCATTTTTTTCTCTCCTGCTAACCAACACCACTTTTAACATTAACCCTGAAAGCCAGGAATATGCAGCAGCTCGTGCACGTTTGACTTGTGGCTGCCAGAAAACACCAGGTATGCAAGCTGACACGTTTTACCTCCATCAAAACAAGGATGAAGATGAATGTGAAGGAGAGAATAAGGAACAGTGCAATTACTTTGAACAGTTGCTTCAGGAGGAATTATTTTGGAGCAGATTCATTCAAGGCCACATCATTTCTGTAATAGTCGAACAGGTTTTGACTTGAAGAGGTGCATGTTGTGGACCCGAGGTGAACAATAATGGAAAAATTCAGGAGAGCAGAACGCCTGCACAGGCTTTTCTACCACTGTGAGTTCCCCAGTTCATCCAGAGGCTGTGATTAATAGCTGTTTAGAAGGTCCAGTTTTCAGTTTCCTTTCGTTCAGCAGCAAACGTATGTGGACAAACAGATGTACTGAGCTGTTCCTATAGCAGCACAAGCCTTTTGAAAAGGTACTGTTGTCATCTGTTGGAAGGCTTGTCAGTCCTCATGTCAGTGGTGACTTGAAGTTCATAAATTATTAACTGCAGTAAGGGTAGCTGATGAAACCCATATTCTAACTGTTTTGTACCTCACACATCAGAAAGGAAAATTCATATTTTCACCAAGGGGGTTTTCTAGGGCTAGGAACAATGTACACTACTTGAATTATAACTTTACATTGTTACAAATGGTCAAAAAATCCCTGAGAAGGCAAAGAATTACCCTTGCTGCAATTGTGAGGCAAATTCAACAGATTTATAGACTGCCTGAAGGAGTTAATATTCTTTTTCCCAGTTAAGATTCTTCAAATATGCATATAAAAAGGACAGTTACATTTTATTTCTTTGAGTTCCTGGGCAAGTTTTTGAGAGATGGCAACATGAGATGCTGAGCTGTGGAAGTTTTTGTGCTGGTTTTGCAGCATGCAGTGTGTAAATCTTAATTTGACAGAGAGTAACAACCATTTCGAGAGTCCTAAGCACCATCCACACAGCACTGTCTATTTTACTCTGAGATTTGCCCATAAATGCCTTTTTACCTGCATGCGTCTTCAAAAAGTGCATAGATGTCTTCAGGTTATTTTACTGTGTGACCGCTTAGCTTGGTATGATGGTCTACATGCAGGGATTAATACTTCTGCTTGTGGAGCTATATAAAAGCAGAAAAAAAAAAGAGCTTTAACTATGCAGAAATACTTTTGGCTTGAGGTAAAACAATCTGAAGCACAAAGGAAAAAACCTGTTTTCTAAAAATGAAAATGTTGGAATGCTGTTCGCAATAAATTGGTCAGAAGTTGGTAGAAAGAGGTACATCAGATAGAAGGCATTTCACTTTGAGTTTGAAAACCTCAAGTCACTTGCTGCCTCTTGGAACACTTGGTTCTCACCTGCCCAACAGCAGACCTTTGTTTCAGAAATAAAGGTGAGGATGCTAACGGGAAAGAGGGATTGATACTGAAGTAGACTAAGACCGTGCAAGAGGCCATAAAATACAAAGTAGCTCAGAAATTCTTTTTTAAAAAGTGCAGGATATGTTGACTGCTTAAGTGTGCAGGAGCAAGTGGCCCAAAACTACCTGTCTGCATCTAAGCAGGAAAAAAATATAGGCAATTGCTAGAGCCCAAGAAAGGGGGAAGACAGATAATCAAACCATTGTGAGTATGGGTTCAGAGCACTGTGGGAAAGCACTTGGAGAACTGCCATCACAGCAGGTAGTAGATACAACCCCACAAATAATGTAGACTGAAGTTACTGCTGATAAACATATCAGGAGAAGGAGGAAAAATAGTTAAGGGGGGGTTGTCCATAAATCTATAAACAGACAATATAGTTGAATCCAGATGTTTTTACTTCATTGCAACCAGTCATACTATGAAGGAAACCTTCCTGTAGACAAGCTTTCAACACAGTTCTGACCAACATTGGAACGGCTAAAAGCTGGCTTCTAGTTCAGGATGCTTCAGTATTTCTTCCCTTCTTCTTCCTTAGATGCTAAAGCAGTCCCCGCTCTTGTTCTTCTTCAGCAGTCAGTATGAGATTATTTTAGTTACAGAGAGAAATTGTAAATTTGTGTACATGCTTGTCCATCCGTTAGGATGTGCTCTGAATAGTTGAATCCTGCTTTTCTCCTTTGTTATTTCACTTGTGAGAATTAACATCATGGGCAAGCAGCATAAAAGAGACATGAGCAAGGTAAACCTTGGTAAAAGAGTAAAAACAAACCTGAAGAATTGTTTTGTTCTTCATTTCAATGCAAGTACTCTATATCAGATTACACCTATGAGTGTGCTCTGCTAGAAGAGGCATTTTTCTCTACTACTACTAAGGGAAATACAAAAGAAGACTACAAAGCATTAAATCTAAAGTACTCAGGTTTATCATCTCTCATACCTGTGGGAAAATTTGCTTCAAAATCTTAACATAAAAAGTTTCCCATATACAGTGACACAGAGGCTTGTTGGTACTTCCTACTCCAGTATTTTCTAGGTTGGTTTTTTTTTTTTCTTTGCATAATTTTCTGTCTGGGGTACTTTAGTGTAGAATTCTGATGAAATCTTTAGATTTGGGACACAGGCTGAGTAAATGCATGTTTGTTTTCCTTGCATGCCAAAAAGCTTGCTAGACTTAGAAAGAACTTTGCCACTTGTTTAGTTCATAGCCTGTACCCCTCTGTGCAGGTATGTGGTGTTTTCTGATGTTGAGAATAGTGCTGAGATGACAAACTATGGTTTATTTGGATTCTTTTAGCACAGAAGAAAGAAAATCAGTTCACTTAAGTTGTTTTATTAAACCAAGAGCCTAATGAATTTATTTTATCTTTACAGACTGCTGGGAATATTCTGGAAATGCGCCAGGATTGGTAATTTTTTTCCTTGAAATCTTTAAGTGCTTTTTCTAGACTATGCATTATTTATTAGGATAATGTTTCCATGTAGCAATGAAACCCATACCCATACTTCATCTTAAAAAATGCAGGTTTTACCTCCATGATACACAGTGAAGGGCGGGGCGCGGGTTATCACTATCTTAGCATCATGGAAGCCTGCATTTTCTAATGTCAATTCATATATGTGGTGATGTATTTGCAAAAAAACTTCTGCACTTCTTACTACATGAAATAATCAAGGGCATACTTCTGATTAATGTACAAAGAAATTAGTGATTCCTTAAACTACTGTCTGGTTTAAATTCTAATGGCCTACTGAAAAAAGCCAGGTATTTACATTATAGTAGTAAAACAACATGGAATTCATAATGCAGTAAGGTTCTATTTGATCGCTAATTTCTTTTTCCTTTCTTTAGTTAGCTTCTGTACATTTTTGAGTTGTGCAAAGCTATTGGTGTCAAGTGGCATCTATATGGAGGCTGATCAGCTCTATCTGATTTTAGACATTTTCCCATAACTTTGGTATTTATTTTAATCCTTATTCTGAATTTCTATTCGGAAGGAAATGGGAGTATGCAACAGAAGTTCAGTCTTAGCATTAAAGTATATCTAAGATTTTTTTAAAAATTACAAATCCATCATCAAAACAGTGTTCTTCAGATTGCATTGTTAATGCAGAGCAGAAACATTGAATTTGTAATTGTAGATATTCCTACTTGTCATTGAACCTAAAGGAAAAATGTATGGTTCCCTTTTCTGCATTCTCGGGCTTTGAAAGGGACATGACATACATTTTACAGTATGTCAAAAAGCATTGCTGCAAAAACCATTTTTTCATGAAGACCTGTTGTTAAAATGATTGCAGATATTGTCCTATTTAGATAATAGACATAGCAGAACCAATTTTAGTATTGTAATTGAAAGATACTGGCAAGGTGGCAGCTGTCAGAAATGAATTTTGAGCTATACCGGCAAAAACAAGCGTAAAAATTCAGCTGTATTAGGGCTTGTTCAAGGTTGAAGAGAACACCTTACCTTATCTTCATCTTCTTGTTATTTAAAATAACTGCAAGCATATTTTTTTTCTATTAGCTATGCACAGCAAACAGTTTAAAAAGCTATTTGAAAGAGTACACAAGAGGTTTTATGAAGCCCCTGTCAACTTGATAATCACGTTAAGAACAGCAGTTCGTCTGGAATATAGTGTTGCTTTCCCATCATGTACTAACATTAACGTCTTTGCATTTGCTGCATTCAGAGTAATGCATGCACTCTTGTGCTCCACACTGAACTGCTTCCTTTTCTCTTTTTCATGTAAAACGCTGATTTCTTTTCAGCTTATATCTAGAGTGGTCCTATTTGACTTTCTCTTAGACATATGAGGAGGTAGCATCTTCACATTCCTCCTGTACGTTTCCTTACGTAACAGTACCATGTCCTCAGTATGGGAAATGGGCTTTGAAGATGATTGCTATAATTTTATTTGTGTTAATCACAAAGGCATGTAGAAAGTGTAGGCTTTTAAAAATGAAAATGCCTACTGGCTTTCTTTACATTTAACTCGCCCAGTATGTCTAAACAACCTTTTCACATGTGCATAAGATTTTAATAACCAGCAAGTGGTTACATATTTACAAAGTTGTGCAAAATGATGTTTAATCCTGCCACATGGTGATTTCCCTTTTAAGAAAATTAAGAGCAGGAAAGTATAACCCATATGAAAATTGTAATACTCTAAACTGTAGGAGGTGGACTTCCTCAAAAATTTATTTTAAACAGATGTGAAACTGCAGACATTAATTCATTCAGTTATTTGAAGTTTAATTAAATATATGCCAGATCATGACAACATCTTGTAATGTCACTGTGGCAGGCAGTCCTGCTTATGGGAGGTGTCACTACAAGTATTTTATTTTTATTTTGCTATGGAAAGTTTGTTCCTCCTGTCTTTGAAGGTCCTCCTGGTAAAAGAGACCTTTTTTTTTTTTTTTTTTCTTTTTTTTTTTCCTGAGGATTACACCTTAACGCTAGACTTGGGAGCCTTGGCAGTTTTTTTCTTTAACATTTCTCTGAAGACTGCGTCTCAGAAAAGATGGTTTCTAGTAAGACAAAGGACCTCACACAGCAAAAAGAAATTGAACTTTTTTTAAAGCAAACAGTTCCAGCTCTGTCTTTATGCTTCTGAATGCATAAAACAAGGAATCTTCTCACTTTAAAGAGCCATTGCTGTGTCAACACTTCCCGACAGTTTTGTAGGCTGGAGGTACCATCCAGTGTAGGGGATGCTGCTCTCCAGAGAGAAGTCCATGCATTCATGAAGAGTAATGCTTAAGTAGAAGAGTAAAAACGCCTGGCTAATTAAATGGAGGAAGTGCCCATGTAAGTAGGTAGCAGTCTGATTAACATTACTAATACTCCCCTGATTGTGTTACAGTTCCCTACCTAAGGTTCACTTTTCATGGTTTATTTGGTGAACAGGAGGGCTCTGTAACATTTTGTTCTGGACCAGATGGGTGGGAAGAGATCTTTCTCAATTGCCTTTGCCACCAAATATAAGTCTGTTAATGGAGTTAACTTAATTTTCATCCACGGTCTGCCCTGGAAAACCATAACACTAATTTGAAAGAGTCAGAAATAGAGGTGTCTGTGCAACTTCTGTAATCTGTTAACCATTTTTATGACTAACCTGAAAATCTGTGGGCCAGACCCTCTCCACATGCTAAAAATGTTATATCTCTCTAGCAAAGAAAAAAGACAGGCACCTGTCCGTGTCTGGGCCGCTGTGAGCTCCCCAGCCAGTTAGTGGGCTCCTACATGATACCATGCGTGGAAGATGCACGCTGTGTATAGCAGCTGGCATGGCCAGACAGCATCGAGGTACACTTCAGCTGACACGGAACAGCTTTTGAGCCCTTAGCCAAGAACTGGGAACAGAGCCAGTAAAAGATTTGGTGTCTTGATCAGCTTTCTGATACCTGCCTCCTGACTCTTTTTGGCACTAAGAGGTAGCAGCAATTTTTTTTTTTTTTTTTTTCCTTGTTTTCCTGGAAAATGCATGTCAGAAAAGATGGTTTATGGAAAGATAGAAGTCCTTACACTGACCTTTGCTTAAAGCAAACGGCTCCAACCCTGTCTTTATTAGCAATATATCCTACCCTACGTCTTAGTTTTCTTCCTCAGTGCACAACTGTAGTAGCAATAGCATTTTCTAGCTAAAAATGTTGAATATTAATTTGCATGTGCAATGAGTTAATTACCATGTTAGGCTAAGAGCAGCCTAGATCTGTTTAGTCATGTCTGAATTTTCGTTTGGTTTGGGTTTTTCCCTCCTCTCAGGTGAACGGAAGAGCCCCTACGTGGCAGTGTGCTGTGTCGTGATGGCCTTCAGCATTCTGTTTGTGCAGTAGCAACTGGAGAGTGTCCCCTACGCCCTACAACGAAACAGCAAAGCATGGAAGAACTTCTGGCAACAAAAGATGGGAAAGTGTCATCAAGTGTCCTCTCACACATTGGATAGTCCATCCCTTAGTGGACACCCCCCACCCCGCAAACGGACCATCATGTACAGTATTAGTGATCATAATGTAACTAACTCTGGGTGACGTGTACTTACTACTGACACTCCTGATGTAACTCTTGAAAGGGTGTCTGTCTGTTGCGTATCTGGTTTTCAGGGGATCTTTTTTTTTTTTTTACACCTTGGAGTTGGAAAGGCTTTTAATTTTTTGTTTGATAAACCTATTTAATGAAACTTAAAAATGGTAAATCTAGCAATAGCAATAAGACCACTTGTACAAGAATAAAAACCATTGTGACTCTAGGATATGTTTACAAAAGTATTTTCAGTTCTTACTGTCTGAACAATTCCTGTCATTTTGTAATAGCTATACTTGCATACTAAAAATATGACCTCTGGCCTAAGTTACAATCAGCTTTTGTTTTCTAAACTTGTAGTTGCTCAAATAATCTATCAATATTTTTATTGTTAAGGTATGAATAAAGGCAGGGACCATAACTGTAGTGCTGTCAACTTGCTCCTGAGAAGGCACAGGTGTGGGATTGGAGAACCTGGACTACTCTGTGTAAAATATGATATGTATTCATTTTTAGATACCTAGGTCTCAGGTAAATCATTCCCCAACTTTTTTCAGTATCGTGACAAAAAGATTCTAAAGGCTTTGCTGCTGCTGTTGCATATAATACAAGGTTGCTAAATCAGCGAAGTGAACACTTAGGTTCTTAGGAGGCTGCAGATAAGGAAGTTGCATGTCCCAATATTCTAAAGGTTAAAGAAAACAACTAAATTAGTTTACACTCACTATTAATACAGACTAGATTACCTTTATTAATACTTGCCATTAGCTTTTATTCTATAATTTTTGCAAACTTTTAGTAATCTAGTAACTTATTTTAATAGTGCCTGACAGGTGTGTTTACATCAGACAACTGTATGACTTCATATTGACTGCATTTGAGTTGTCTGTCAGCAGTATTTTTTGTTTTTCTGAAAGCGTGTGATCAGAATGAGCTAAGATGGCAATAAAACACACTGAAAGGTACATAGCAGTTGTCATTCTTGTTTGAAAACCTTTTTTCAAAGACCCAAATTACGCTGCAATTAGAAAGATAAGTGATTATTAGTTATTACCTCTGTATTGTCTCACATATACCTGCATATCTAAATCACCATCAGAAGTACTTGTCCAAAACTCTTTTCTAATCTGGAGCCAGAAAAAATAGATTTCTCCAATTTAGGCCAGATAAATACTCCTGGCTGTAAACCAGGCAGGTTCAGAGGAGTAGAGAGCTGTATGATGGTGACCATACTGTGCACACATACAAGCCTTAAACTGTGCAGGAGATCTGGGGAGAGGCTAAAGCTATTTCAGTAACTTTAAATGTGGATACTGCTCCAAACATAGCATCAAAGCAAGTAATTTCTGGATTTCAAAGCTGCCATTCCTAGACTGGGGGGAGGGAAATTCCTAAGGAGTCTTGGTTTTTGACTGTCAGGTGTGTACATGTTCAAAATATGCAAAGAATCATCTGATACCTCTTTATATTAAGTAATTATATTCTACATTTTAATATTTGTAGGACTTTATTATAAATAATGGTATTTGTATGATATTCACACATTTTCAATCTATATAAAGTTGTCCTAGTCATCAGATTAATTCATAATAATCTTTTATGTTTAGCTGTGACTAGGAATACCAGTGAAACAAACCAAGGAATTTTTTAATTCTGAGAATCAAAAAACTGTTGACATGAAGGCATTGTATTGCAAAAGTCTTCCCTGTTCACAGCGTTTTATCATTGAAGTTCAGACAAACAGGCCTCTTCCTACTTGTCATTTATTGTTCAAGCCTTAAAATGATTTCCTATACAGCAGTCCTTCATTTTGTCCTAAATGCAGGTAGTTGATGGATATAGTCCCAAAGTAGGATGTTCATTTTCCACTTTAAATGGTGTTTACAGGGTATTTGTGGCCTACTAGCTGTGTGATTGCTCGTCAGTGCTACTCTTTTTGCACATTAAATAACACATTTCCCAGCTTCTGCTGACAATACCCAAGTTAAGCAGCACTAGGTTGTATGCAAGCATTAGAAATTATCGCAGGCAGGAATAAGTGTCATCTATAGTGGGGGCTGCTCAGCACTTGCCTCTAGTAAAAGTATCTGAAAACAGGGTCTTTGAACTGTGACAAACTTCAGTTGTTTTGAAATGACTGCTTTAGGCAGGTGTTTGCCTCAGGATGAGTTCTTTGTTTTTCAAAATTTTGGCTTTGAAGAGGTTGATACCTCATGTCTTTTACTACAATACAAAGAAAATACCGTTTTCCCCTGTTAGAATCTTAAAGCCATTTTTGCTTTCTTTGCTTTTGTTTTCTCATGTAAAAGAGACATGAGGAACCAAGAATACCTTGGTGTTTGACCAAGGTATAAATGCTGCGAGAAGGAAGGGGAGAGTGTAACTTTGGGCGCAGACACTTGGTAAAGCTTTACTACGAGTCTCTCAGGTGGAACTGTGTCATTTTCAAAGACTGTAAGTTCCAGTAGAGCTCTATTGGAAGAAGGGTCAGGGAAAATAGTCTTTTCTTGCACTAGGTCTTTGTGCTGAGTCCTAGACTGAGTAGAGAAATGAAGTGCATATTACCAAATGATTTAGGTGCTGAACTAGCCCAAAATGGCAGATGCACAATTGTGGGATTTGACATAAGTTGACAGAGAAGATAATGGCTATCACAAGTGGCTGAGAAGACCACAGCAGGAGTTTCTGGCTGAAATACAGGAGCTTACAACCATAGCAAGTCTGTACACTTATCCTATGTAGAGGTGCTGGAAGGTGCACAGGGAGTGAATGGAATAGCGATTAAATATGACTTATGCTATAGTTGTGCATCCTACTGTAGAAAAGTACTTCCTCCTTGAGGCTTCATCCTTTTATCTGAACAACGTCATGGATGGCACTTCTAACATCTGGCAAGCTCCCCCATCTGTACTTGTTGCACACGTTGCATGAACGTTGAGGGTGGTGTAGGCTGTGGTTTTAAGTGCAGCTTGGAGGAGAGGTCCCATCTGTTTTTCTCAATTAATGAGAGAACAATGAGAATGCAGGATTATAGATGAGCATTTCCCAGTAAGACAGAATACCTTGGATCAAGATAATGCAACTCAAAAAATATCAGGTGTTCTCCCTTCTAAGAGCTGCACAAGCAGGAGGAACAGGTACAGGCCCTACACCTTGTGTTTGGCACATGATGGAAGCGTGCTCTCTGCAGCATTTTACATTTGTCATTGCATATTGACATACCTTACCTGTCTGGTGGATTGACAGAATTACAGTCAAGAGTAGGAGTCCATCTGCAAGCCCTTCCCTTCTCTGGCACTGACAGAACTGAGCTGTGTGCTGCCACAGCTGCATTGCTATTGCTTCACTAAAGGTTTACCAAGCTAAAATATGCTAAAATGGCACAACTTTGCAATCTTGGAACAAAAGGCGGCCATCTATTTGCTGTATGCAAATCCAAATTTACTGCTTAATAATGCAACTAATAACATCAATGCAATAAAACCTGAAACATGATGTGTTGTTCCTTGAATACACGGAATATTTTATACCCATGCATTTACTTGCTATGGATTAATGTTAACGTTAACTTTCATCCACATCTGTGCTCTAAGTGACATGAAATTCAAAGCAGGGGTTTAGGAAGACTAAATTGAAAAGCAGTAATAGCCATGCTGGAAGTGAGTAGAGCATGAGTAAGAGATGGGATCACCGTAAAGGTCTGATGTTTGGAGAGACTGATAAGAAAATGGGCAGACATAGCTAGTGGAGGAGGAAACAAAAAGTGAAGTCCAAGGATGACTCGAAGATTTCATGTTCTTGGAACAATGTTATTGTTCTATGAATGCCCTTTCTACCTCATTAACCGCAGCCAGTGAGCGGTGGAAATACACTGTCACCAAGAGGTGAAGTTGCAATGTGGTAGCGGAAATAATTACTCTGCTCTGAGGCTTTCATTCTTCCAGTTCGTTTCACCAGCTCAAACAATTCTTGCCTGTGAAGACAACACATTACTCACAGATAAAGCAACTTGCAGTCATTCTCTACAGCCCCTAGAAGCAAAGCAAAGCATTAAATATACCATTTTGCAATGGACAGTTAGAAATACAGTGAGGTTTACCGTCACTTCCAGTACTACAACTGGTGTTTTCCCAAAACATGCTTGGGTCTCTGATTACTGCTTGCAGTTAAAGCCACACTTTTCATTCTTCCCCATGTCCCCCAAGTAGATGAATAAGGATGACAGAGGCACAATGTCTCTGGTTCTATCTGATTGACATCAATGGAAGAGCCCACCACCTAATGCTTAGAAAGGCTCATCATGATGTAGTCACTCCTTCCCCCCTTCTTCTTTTCATGCTGTAACTACTCTCTGGAGAAAAGAGAAGAAAAGCAATGTCTTCCTAATAGATTAGAATTCTAACCTTGGTAAAAACCACCAGAAGCCAGGAAAGTGTGATCTAAACCTGCTTCTCATACTTGTGCAGCCACTTTACATTATATAGTCAGAACATTCCCAGTTAAGGAAGGGTTTTGAGCCTGAGTTTTTTCCTGCCTTTTTCTCCTGTTTTACTTGAACCTTGTTCGTTATTCGAGGCCCAGTTGACGAGTGCTTTCAACATACATTACAAGGTCCATATAGGTTCCACATGTATTTGACATCACTTGGATGGCTAGAAAAGTAGTTTTAGCTCATGTAATGCAATGTAATCAGCATGATGGGTATGGAAGGTACATCTACAAATTGAAAAAAAAGGATTTGAACGTAGGGCCTGAATTGTTTGCTTCATTACAGTTCTTATATTTTATAAATAGTATCTTTTTTCATGATGTCCTGAGGTCATAAAGCAAGGCAAAATGCATGGAGAAATACACTCATTCTGCAAGACCTGCTGACAGTTGGAAAAAAACACATGCTTTTGGGCAGGGAGGATCTCCTTCAGGTCCAAAATGACAAATCTCACACAAAGAACTAACCTATACTCAGCTTTCAGTTTGTCAGACTCTTTCAAATCTGAAGGGCTTGTGTGCCCAAAGGCATATCCATTTTTTTCGGTCAACCAATATCTGACAAGATATAATGTATCTACAGACAACTTTTGCCTGAAGTTCATGGCCTGTTCTTTGGCTAATAGGCCACAGGTAGTAACCTTTCACTTCACGATGCACACTTCCGTTTGGCTGTTTGACCTTTGGAGCCCAAGTTTTCTGATGAAATATCAGTCAGGTTGAGTTTACTCAAGCTTCAGAGGCTTCAGAAATAAAATAGCTTTTGGCACTGCAGCTCACCCATTGCTTCCCACTGCACAAGAACCAGTAGCCGTAGGAAGATTGTCAAACGCTTTGTTAATCTAAATCAGAAAGACCTTCCAAAAAGAGCATGTTACTAACTAACATAATTCCCACTGGCGTGGGAGTGAAACACCAACATTTTGTCAAAGATCTGGGTATAAACATTTCCAGTGACACAACTACTCCTGCCAGCTCCCGGTATGTCAGTAGAGAAGATGATTACTTAATGGGCTCCTCTGTCAAAAGCAAAACTTTCTACAAGAGCGTCTATCGTATCACATCATTTCCGTTACTTGAAAGGGCTCTTTGGAAGCTGTACCGCAAAAAAAAGAGGTTTTCCCTCCAGCTCAGCTAAGTGAGTGGGAAGCAGTAAGCATGTATCTCCAGCACAACTGTAAGTGTATCCAGCTGTGACGTCATTGCAGTAAATTGCCATATTTGTGTAGACCAGTCCAGTTGTAGACCAGTTCACCAATTTATGTTTGCCTAATTAAACACTATGGCATGCCACTGATCTCTTTTTCAACATGATGTAAGCACATATAATCCAAACACGCTGCACCAGGCTCCTTGATGTCCTCTGCGTCATCTATTTACATCATGCATAAACTAGTCAGAGGAGCCTATCACATCACTCGTACCGGCTGACAGCATTTACTTCAGGCAAACTCAGTGATTAAAATACTGTATTTTCCCCTAAGGGAAGACAAGGTTTTAAAAGGGTAAAATTATATATGGTTTCATTTATTCTGAAAAAAAAAAGGCTTGTTTTAAAACACAAAAGACGACTTGTTTTAAAGCAAAGTCAAGTCAGGTCAAAATGTAAAAGTACCCTTTTCAGTTCTAAAGTCTTCACAGCTGGTCATTCCCACATGCAAAAACTTAAATAACCTTTCAGGGCTGTAGTAAGGCTAACGAAAAGTCCACAAAATGATAGATGTATTTGGACATAAATGTCACACCCAGTGGAATTAAAAGGAAATAAATAGTAATTTAACAGTGTTGGCAAGCTGCTTTTTTGACTATGTAGCACCACCAGCATATTTTACACGTGTATCACAGTCATGAATAAGCCAGACCAGACACACATTCACAAATCAGTTTTGATTTCCTATTAAGCTACATGCTTATTTTCCTTCCCCCGCCCTTTTCAGCTAATAAAGGAAGCCAAGGGAACGCACTGATCTTCGTCTCTTTGGAACAAATGTTAACTTCAAATTCCCATGATTGATTCTCACAGACTGGCAAAACTTCAGGAGACAGAAGAAAAAACCCTTCCTTATGATAAACCATTCTTGACATTTGAATTGTTTGTTATTTAGTATGGACATAAAATCCTGATGACCCAAAGATGGCACTTACTTAAAATTATCACCATCACTAGCAATGTGACTGGGGCTAGAGGGCTTGAACCGGGTCCCTCATTCAAGAGGGGTTTACGACCGTGCAATAGTCAGCGTATTCTTCCCTGTACCGCTTCCCTGCGCAGAATGTGCATCTGTCTGCCAAGGAACAAGTTTTGACATCAGTCTGATAGTTCGATGGTACCACTCCTTAAGAGACAGGAGACATGGAAAAGGTTTTCGTCTCTGGATTCATGGTGACTTCTGGAGGTAATAAGAATTGTCTCCTCCTCTTCACACAAGGAGGAACAAATCCTTTGAAATCCAGTTACCTCAGGTCATAGCCTGATCTGTTGGTTTGACCACACCACCATCTTCTTCATATTCCTCCTGCCCAGATTTTCACTTTTGCTTTTACAGCCATTTAAACTCTTTCCTTCCCCATTGACACACAGAAGGCTCCTCCTCCTTACTTTGTCCAGTAACAAATCCAGTAACACCAGGTTTGAAAGCAAACTTCCCCAAAAGAACTCTCTTCTCTTGTGTGCAGGTCTTTACGTGTGTAAAGTGGCTAACATTGGTCTTTAAGAGACCATCCTGTTCTGCATTTCAAATCCATCCATAAAGAACTGCTTTTGCAGCTCCACCTGCAGAGTGCCAGTTAACCAACTCGTAATGGCAGGACCTGGTCAGAGTTTGTCTACAGAAGACAGAGAAAATGACCATGAGACCACAACACTTCTCATTCGGTTGATAAAATCTACTATGCAGCGGTGCCAAATTATGCTTACGTAAGCCATAGAAACTTTGTTAACCAGGGTATGTAGCATGGTGTTGAATATGGTGCAGGAGTCTCTGTACAAAAGCTTGTGTCTAAATTTCTCCACCCTTACCCCTGAAAAAAAAAAAGGACAACTCAGATGGTAAGCCCCAAAACCTTCGGGGGACCTAAACAGAGACATTTACCCAACGACACCTGACCTGCTCAGTCCATCTCTGCCAGGGAAGAGTGCCTCCTCTCCAAGAGCAGAAATACCGAATGTAGTTAAAAAGGGAAGAAGACCCAACTGGTTAAGCTCCCTTCATTTTTTCCTTCCCACTTATCACCTATTTTCCACTCCTGTTTTAATCTGTCAGATTTTAAGACTGCAGCACTAGTGCAGCCTCTTCCTAGAACAACAGTGCAACCATGGAGAGCAAGGCACTTCATGCTTTTCCCTGTTTTTCCCTTTTGTACGTTTGAGGTGATGATCTTGCTGGCTTGCAAACTTGGTGGAATGATTCAGTATGTGCTCACAAGAACCATAACAGTATGGGCTATTCCCTAAACTCATTCAGACCACTCATCTCACATTTGGAAAATATGTTTTAAAGGAAAAACAGGTCACAAACCACAAAAGTGCTCCCTATGACAAGTTTACTATATTTATTTAGTATGCCTTGGTGAGGGGCTCTGAATTGTGCATACCGAAACAGACCTCAGCGCTCCTTGTCATAATAAAGTACAATATAATACACAGACAAGTGCTCCAGTGCCATGACCTGAGTGCAGGAATGGAAGCTTGGTCCTCTTCACTTCCATTACCGAATAATTCACTATTCTTGGGGAGTCATTTATCAACTCCTTGCTGAGCCAGCAGA